GGAATAGTATTTAAAGTTTTGTTTTGTTGGAAAATGAATTAGGAGATGAGGTTTGGGATCAAAAGATCATCAACGAGATCAAGGGTGTTGTAAAACCGAGCAAATCACCACCTGCGGGTCAAGGACGAAATTATCGACTTAGCGGTCCCAAATCCTAGATAGACAAATCAATTGGTGTGTGACCATTGAAAGTTTATTTTCACGAACATTTGAGCTGAATCATCAATTGGTGTTTGACCACTGAAAGTTTATTTTCACGAACATTTGAGCTGTTCCAAAGATTATAATATACTGAGAGAATATGATCCTGAATGAAAATGTAACATCTCGAAGAAGGCACTGTTCCGATAATGAGTTTCGTATATATAAAAATATGATTAATTCATGTGTGTAAATCAGTCATTTCATCAAACAGAAGCAAAAATTAAAGAGCATCGAACGAGGTACATACAAGCATGTCCTACCCGCAATAAACGAAACCCTTCAAGCATGAGTCATTTCGTCAAACAAAAGCAGAAAGAGCATCAAACGAGGTAAGAGACTCGGGGACTGTAAGCACGAGATCAGACCACTCAACCTTCCCCCAAATCTCATCTCCATCGCGTTTTTCTAGCGCAATCATAGCACACCATATCCTATGTTCAAAGCCCTTAGGCTTTTGTTCAAAACCCTTAGACCTTTGAGTATACACATACCCCTCCCACAAAACCGCCATCTTTCCACCAAAATTCACCATTTTACCGTCGTGAAAATGAGCGAATTCTGCAACACCTTTGAATTCCTTCCATAAACTTACCTTAAAATCATACCATTTGCACATTTTTTTTTTTATCTCGAATGAGAATGAACACGACATCATCAATAACACAATACCTATGTCCTGCTACCGAAGAAATATCCTTATCCACTCCTATAGGTAGGGCCGTGCCTTCCATGTTTTTGGAAAGGCATTCGCCTAGGACCCCGGAAAATATATGTTAATTTTAGGCCCCATTTTCTTAAAAATTTAATGTAGTCTAGCGGTAAATAATAAAGTAAAATAGTTTTTTGAAATTCTCATCACAACTTCAATCCAATTCCATGCTAAAATAAGAGTTTATTTTTTTGGTCGTAAGTTTATTAATTTTTTATTGGC